AGACTCGCAAATTAAAGAGTTACTAGCGAATTAGTGTCCACGCCCTTGTGACAAAGTATTTGGGAGATTTGTATAAAAACAAGCACTCATATTTTAAACCTATTTTTTTCACATATCCTGAATCGACGTTCAGATAGAACAGACGAGGAGTTCAATAATAAAGTATTCTTACATGAAGAATGTCGGCGTGCTCACTTATGGTTCCTAAACGGTCCACGCTGTGCACATTACTGTTCCAATGAGGGGTATTCTCAATCTGGAAAGATTTTATATATGAAATTAAGGACGTACGAAGTTGAGATGAACAACATCGGGGGTAGCGAACATGCTTTTTATTTAACATTAACATAATGCTTACATATCAAGCGAGGAAAGGTTCTAAAATATCTTATAAAAACTTACTTCATTCCAATGATGCTGAAAGATGGTTTCCATGTCGATGTTGTATGTCTTCTGTAAGAGAAATGCAAAGTAGGACTGTTTTTACAGTAATCAAATCTTCATGTATTTGAACTAGAGAAATCCAGTATTTTCAAGGTCAACCAACCTTGAGGTAGTAAACTTTTCCTATTGGGAAATGCTTGTTGAAACATTTGTCGCCCTTGTGCTCAGATTTAAGCTTCCAATCTTTACGATCTGCTCGTTTTGCATCGTCGAACACTTTCAAAGCTTCAACAAAAGCATGGGCAGTGTTACGCAAACCAACTCCATACTAAAAATAATCTTTTTGGACTTGAAATTCGTTGCTATTCGTAGAGTCAGAGTGCCCCTCATACTTTCTTTTAACTGTGAAGGCATGCTACATTAAAATTTTAGATTAGAGATGTGAAATTCATAAGTAATGGGCTGAAATCTGTTTACATCCTTGTAGAAGGTTTTGATATTTGTTGGAAGAATTGTGAAAGCGTGCTGTCTTGTGATATAAACCATTCTACAGTTCCTCTGCTCCTAACCTCCCTATTCCTCCCCCTCACCCTATCCCCCTTAGCTCATATAGAAAGCATTTTTCTTCCGTCCCTATTACTTACGTATGGTATGCCTTTGTGTTTGCATTTAAGGGCTGGCTTGGACGCATTCA